CACCTAGAAATGCCCAGGGAAGGAGCATGAGAAGAAACTGTGGCCCGGCTTGCAATCCAACTCGGCAGAATCAGGAACTTTCTGCTTTTCAAGGGCTCGCTGCCACTCTTCAAAAGCATAAACATTTATTCTAAAAAAATTCCTGCTCAAAGCAGACTTTCAAATAATTCTCTGATTAAAATTGCCAGGTTTATTTTATTGGGACCATCTGTTAATGCAATCATGTAAAATTCTACGATTTGATGTTAGTGAGTTAATTCTCCTCGGTGCTAAACCAAATGGGACTGTAGACTTAGAGACTGAGCAAGAAATGAGCTGTATCTAATGAGACAGCCTCCGAAATGGCCAGGCTATGAGAAGAGCATGTCAGCCGGACACATGCTTCTGCCAGATATGATATGGGGCAGTCATCTTCACAACTGATATTTTCTTCACAGTTTACAGACATGTTCCCTATTGATTCTTGTTCTTCTCCCACTTAAAAACTGCACTCTGAAGTCAGATTTATAATGAAAATAATTTCCCACATGGTGTTGGGCCATTAAATCCCCCCACTGACTTCATCAGGGAAGTTTTCATGTGAATAAAAGCTTACTAAACATGCTGTGATTATATTGGGGTTTTTTTTAAATTGGAGTAGCTAATATTTTTACTTTTTAAATTGACTTGCTGAGTCATTTTGATACCAATCCATCATTTCATTTAAAAAAGATAACCTGGAGAAAAAAATGTGACAATGAGTGTGTATATGTCCATGAATGACTGAAAAATTGTGCTGAACACTGGAATTTGACACAACATTATAAAATGTTTATAAATCAATAAAAAATGTTAAAAAAATAAAATAAAAATAAAAATAAAAATAAAAAAGATAACCTGGGACTGTTAAAAAAAAGGAGGGGGTGGTTAGGGAAGAGGAAATTATTTTCGCCTTCTGTCTGTCGGCGCTAATCCTCTTAAAAGTCCCCTTTCAATCAAGGGATCCCAGAGAAGCTCAATTTCCTCAGCAAATGGAACACTGAAAGGTACAGTTTAAAAGGGTTGCTTCTGTGAGTGAAAAAGGAAACTAATGGAGTGACCTGTGGAGACACCCTGAGCCCAGGAACACATAGTGCACACGCCTTTATTGGGTCAGAGATACGCATGTCCATCTGTCAAACTGAAAAGCCAAGGAAATGGCAGACTTTGGCTTTCTGCTGGTGGGCACACGTCATGGAAATATTTTATTGCAAAGTGACTGAAATGCAGTTAGCGGTTTAACACTTAGCAGGCAGGCAGCAATGGCTTAGAGAAAACAGACCAAGATTTTCTCCCTTGGGCTCCTCCAGCCTTGACAACAGTGACGACTAAGGTTTTTAAGTAGTGTGATGGATTCAGATGAATCTGGAAGATTTTGTCTTGAAAATAAAATAGTGGAAATGTCCCCTAAGAAAAAATGGCTGGGGAAATACATCACCTGAATGGTATAGAAAAGCATTAGAAACTGCCTGTAGATCGCCCAAAGAATACATGAACCAATTTTCTGAGAAGATTGAATAGAAATACTGAATGGACCCAGCGTCATTTACTGCCCACAGACTTCATGTGAAAATGTAATTAAGACTGGGACTGGAGAATGAGAAAAGATAGGAGGCACGAAATGGTCTTTACAGTTTCCTCGGAAGGTCACAGCCCACTTTTTATAACATACTATGAAACACAAGGTTAAAGTGGGTTTTCGAAGACTTGGCTATACTCCAGAAGTCTCTCTTTAATGTCGTTTGCAAAATTTATACTAAAGGCAGATTTATAAACTCTGTTAAGAGAATAGGTATTTCTCTTCTTTTTCGTAGAGAAGCACTTTGTTGTTTTGGTTCAGTTGCTAAGCAAAATATAGCTTGAGTTTGCGCTATAAAATCTTAGTTATATACGTAAGATACCATGTTTATTTAAAAATTACGAGGCTTCTGACTTCAAATCAGAAAATTCCAGGGTCATATAAAGATTTGTATCATTTTCAAGGCCTTATCTAGGTCTTATGGAAGTTTCACCTCTGTAGTTCTTAATGGGTTTAATCTTCCTGTGTTGTAAATAGCACTGTTTATCGCCTCTCTGAGGAGCTAAGACCAGGATACTGGTTGAGAAAGCAGATTTTAGAGTCAAACTACCTGAACTTGAGTTCTGGCTCTTTCACTTACCAGTGTTGAGACCTTGGGCAAGTTCTTAATTCCTCTGAGCCTCAATTAACCTATCTATAAAATGAGGGTAATAATAGTTCCTACCTTGCAGGGGTGTAGTGAAGATTAAATACTTGTAAAGCATTTAGCAACGTGCTAGCATACAGAAAGAAAAATCAACCCTTACCATCTTGCAGACAGTTAAGACCCCAGCAGCGCAGAGTTTAGTTTGTCCAGGCCGAGCACATGATGGCTATAACCTGCTTCTCTGTATCCTAACCCCTTCTGCACTCTCCTTCCTCCAGCTCTCCAGGCCTCTCCTAGGTCCTCTGTATTTGTTACGTGGTCTTCCTTTACCAGGCACAGAAGATTCTGGTCAATGCCAGTTTTCTGAAAGAATGACCTGCTTTACTCTGTATCTTCACACATTAAGCCTTTCTTCACTTGAGTTCATTGAGGATGAATGCCCCACAGTTCTTAGCAGACAGAAGTGAGAGAATAGATCCAAAAGACAGGAAATGGACTAATTGGGTAGCTGGAGGGATAGGGACACAACAAAAAAGGAAAGAAACACAAAGACTTTTGAAAACAAGTGAACCCGCAGGTGATTCAGCTGCTTTTAGCCACAACTACAGTATTCTCCAGCGTTGTTCCAGTGTTCTGGAGCATTGGTCCCCTGAAATGATTAGGAAACAAATGATTTCTTGGTTAAAAGAGTTTGTCCAAAATGTTTTATACCACGTTTTCCTCCAGGAGTCTTAATGCTTAGTAACATATTAAAAATTCTAAGTACTACAGCAAAGAAACCTGCTTTATTTTGTTTATCCCATAATACTGATCAATACATGACACTGACTCATAATATTTGGAGACTCCTTCCATTATTATTTTAGAACTTTGTTGTTTTTTGGGGGCACTAATGAACCGTGATAAAACTGATGGAAAGAAAAGTGGGACTAACACTTAGTGAATGCCTATTACGTGTGCCAGAAATCATGTAACTGCTTTAGATATATTTGGTTTTTCCCAATAAGGCTAAGGTAATGGTTTTTGAGTACGAGGGATAGTTACAGTGCTTTACAAAAGAACATCATGGCACGAATTACCCGTTCTTAAGTTGGGACAAAATAGCTCTTTAAAAGGTGAAGGATCTTAAGAACTCCTGTAGCCCTTCTTCATGCCCAAGACTATTGCTTTTGTGCTTGCTGAGAAATTTGAAGATTCTGGAATCTCCCTACCCTCAGTTCCCTGGAATGTAACATTGTATACAGAACTGTGAGTAGTCTTGGTTCTGCCACTGATTGGATATGTAACCTTGAAGAATGTACTCCTCTGAGCCTGTGTAAATATTGGCAGAAAAATAACATCTTACCTAAGTTTGTGAGGGTTATACTTACAAACCATAAGCTTATAATTGGTGCTCAAAAAAACACCAGTCCCTTAATCTGCCATACTAATGCTTGCATCCATTGATCAAAATATTTTTTCTCTTGCACAATTACTCAAACAGGGTCTATGGAGTCCATAAAATAATATGTACATTTTCTATTTTCAACATTCACTAATTGTTATTTAAAATACTACCATTGTGTGTGTGTGTATGTGTATGTGTGTATAGGTAGGAGCAGCATATTTTTAATACATTTAATAATGTCAGTATATATAAAATTACATGAAATAGCAGTTTAAGTATTGTTAAAGGAAAGGACTATATTTTATTCTTTCTTTATATTCCCCAAGACGTCTATCCTAGCCTGGTCCCAGGTTCACAGTATTTAGTTGTCTTGTGAAATGAATGAATGGAAACAATAGTGGTAAATTGCACTAGCATTATACTTATTTTGTACAATATAATATACCAAATGTAACTTAATAATGGGACATTTACACTGGAGAACAAGCCAGGATGGAATCAGACTGTGATTTTTGAAATTTTGTGCTAAATTTCTGATGATTTAGTAAACAGCTTATGCTTACCACTCAGTCTCAGCTGAGATGGGTACCAGAAAATTCACTAACAGGACTCCCATGTTAGAGACAAGCATTATTTTATGAAATTGGATCTGGCTTCAGTTCTTTTGAAAGAAATTTGACTTTCCCTTCAAATAATATGTTTGGTTTACCTCAACTCTTACTTTCCTTTTTGCTTACTGTTTTTCATCCTCGTGCAACAGAAAAAAGCTACCTCTTTCCCTTTTCTGAAACGTTTATAAATCATTAATAGTGAAACACTGGGAGGTGAAACTAGGGTCAGGAAGGAGAGAACACTGCACAATAACAGCTATTAACTTTGTGGAGAATAACGGATCTTCATTTCAGTTCTAAGTATAGGTAGATGCACAAACGAAAGCCATAAAGTGTGAGATTTCCTTTCTTTTCTTGTGCACATTTGCCCACACTGGCGACAAGGCTGAATTATAGGAAAGAGATGTTTTTATACTTAAATGAAAAAAAATAGGTAAAAATGAGTTCGAGATTGAAAAAGGCTGATGACTCTGTTTTGGGTGTGTTTTCAGGTAGTGTTAACGAAAATGGCAAGTGACCTGAATTCAGGGCAACCAGATCCTCCATCAGTCACCCGTCCCAACCGACCTGCCCCTTTCTGCTCTCATCCCCTCTCCCTTTTTGGCCTCTTTTCTGTTTCCTTCTCTCTCTCTCTTTTTAATCTACATCTTGGTACTCAAACCTGGAATGTAGCATTTACTCCTTTATGATCTGAAAATATAATGACAGGTATGTCTATATATTTCTGGTATATTCAACACATCTAAATGTCCTCTGAGTCTTATCAGAGATTACCAAGAGGAGGATGTGTCCAGTAAACTGAAGCGTGATCTCTTGTAGGAATGGCTCTCCATGGCTGAGAAGCTGCAGAGTGAGGCCCTTTGGATTCTGCTGTCCAAAGAACATGTGGAGAAGGAACACCTACAGCTCTCAAACCAGAAACTGAATCAGCTTCAAGAAGACTTGGGTCGGCTCATGGTGGAAAGGAAGACCTGGTTAAAAGAGGCAAATGATTTTTTCAACAGCACTAACAAGGTCAGTGTGAGGTGGAGTTGGTAATATGAGGTACCAGAGCAAACCAGCAAAGGGCAGAACACATCACAGGAGTCTAAACTCCACGTAGAGTTTCAAAATTGACAGCAACAGAGAGGTGCTTTTAAAATATATCACTGTTCTCAAAACTGAGAGACTCTATGCTTTGACGTGTAAAGGGTCACTTAGGAAAAACCCAGGAGAATTTTATCTTAGACCTCTCATTGGTCTGTTTGAAGGGGATCCTTGTGCCAACATGCTAGTATTTCTCCTGGAGGAAAGGAATTATAAAATGTATCAAGGCTGAAAAAAAAAACAAAAAACAAAAACCTTTGAAACTTTTTCCAAAAATTTAGCCTTTTTAAAAAATCCTCTTTCATTTATTAAGTAAAGATACATAAATATTGCAGGCCTTCGGCATGCAAACCATAAGGCTCTGGTTGGCTGCCCAGCCTTGGTTTTGCCTTTTTAAGTCAGACGAAGGGAAATCTTGCTTTGGATTGTGTCCAGGTCTTCTCAAGTAGGAGAAGAGCTCCACTTCTCTTGGCTGATTCATTTAATATTGATCGTAGCAGGTGGCTCTTACTGCGTGGTAATGTTCCTGTGTTCACATCACTAGAGTATCTGAGGCTGGTGATATTGTTGGAAAATGTTTCTACTTTTCCCAATCTAAAGACCTTCAAACTGCTTTATTGAAATGGATACCTTAAATTTCATTGATGTTTTTAAAACTGGCCAGTGTGACAGGAAATAAATGGGGAGCCCCCAGAAGCTAGATATATTGTGATTTAAAGTCATGGCATCAACATTCTGATTACAATGTCCTGGTATATATCAAAATAGCTACTTAATTTTGAATTTCTTTACTAATAAGAAACTTGGAAAGCATGAATAGTAAAGTTCCAAAATAGAGATGCTAGAATTATGGTAAAAAAATGTTAAAGAAGTATTTGTTAAATTATTTGCTACTTGGTATTTTTTTTGTTTTAAGAGAAGAAACAGACATAGCATATTTCTGAAGCTGTTGAGCTAAGTCCATGGTACTTGCTGGTTAAATTTCTCTTCAACAGTCTTGTTTTTGAATAAGAGATTTTTAAACTTACATTACATTCTCATTCTACAAAATGAGTGGGTTATCTGCTAGTTAATTAATGCTATATACTGTTTCTAAGGACAACAGTTATATAGGACATGTTGCTATGATGAAACAGTGCTTCCAGCACAAGCCCGGTAATTTATAGCCCTACAAAATGTGGAGTTTTTCTCTCTCATTCTCACTCTCACTCTCACTCTCACTCTCACTCTTGCTTCCTCTGCTCTCATTATCTGGTACCTTGCCAGGGAGATTTTTTTCTTCTTACATTATTCCTGGGCCTTGAGGGAGAAGGAATGCTATCTCTTATAATAGTAATTTTTTTTGAAAAAGTTGAAGAATGGAGTGGCAGCTTTCCCAAACTTACACAGTCATTCAGGTCCAAACTTAACAAATCCTATTTCTTAACCCCGAAGACCTGACTTCTAGACCCCCGGTTTAAGGACTTGAATGCCATGGCTTTCAAATTGTGATTAGTTCGGTTAGGACTTATCTACACTACAGTATTCTCTATAGCCAGGTGGTACTTAGAAAGATGTAGAATTCATTTTCCTTTTTCAAAGCATTGAAGAAATAATTTCCAACTCCAAATCTGAGAATTTAGTTTGAAAGATGCTGGATACTTTTACCTCAGCAAAAACAGAAGCTGGAGTTTGGAAAGTAGATGTTTAAATCATGACTCTTGAAATGAATTATTAACCATATTACTAAGAAGCAATAAATGATGAAATAATGTAGTGAGTAAATCCATTTAAATTAAAGAAGGAAATTCTTCTCAAGACTTGTAAATGGTGTTTTCCTTCTTGATTTATATTGTAGAATCTCCAAATTTTACAAAATTCTTACCACTTTACCCCATTTTTGGGGTAAACTGATAACCCTAGTTAAAATAAAGCACTGGATTTAAAACATTAATATAATTTCAAAATCCCTTAAAATATTTTTTTCTAGTCTGAAAGCTTTGTTTTCACCAGCAAAAGAGTATTTTCAGTTTACATCATCAATTTATCTTCAAAGCACTGAATTTTTCTTTTCAAAATTCACTTTATTGTGCCTTGAGTGCACTAAGGTTTTCTAGTTGTGATCATTTGTATCATTGATGAAACCATGCTGCTGTGAGGGTCTGAGATTTTTAACCAGCTATCTGGCTAACATGCTAACTTGTCACAGTTCATGGATGCTCAAAGAAGACATGTGACTTCTGAATCAGTTTTGGAAGACTTTATTGTCACAGCAAAAGCAATAACCAGAGTGTCAGATGTCACATCAGTTCCCCAGTCCCCAATTATGCGGGGTCAGGGCAGATGGGCCCCAGTGGGTGATGGCACCGCTGTAGGTGGCATTCAGGAAAAGAATCCTTAACTTGGGGAATTTACTGTTTAATAGCAAACGGTAAGCAAGCTTGTTCTTTGTCTCAGAGGAAGACGTTTCCTCAACCCTGAAGGCTGCAAACCCAATACTGAGAAGTGGCCCAGACAAAGAGGGATCAGAGTCAGGCATTCTTGGCACACCAGTAAGATGGATGGGAGCAGCAGAGACTCGCACCACGCATGCACATCTGGACATTAGCGCTAAAACAAAAAAGGAAGTTGGGGCTTTAAAAAAAGATACTTACCTCAAAACCAATTTCATTCCTGATAAATGGAATTATTTTTTAACAAACAATTTCCTGTTCCAAATTTGTTAAAGCTAGGTCAATATTTTTCAATTTCTGTGTCAAATACCAGTACGAAGAAATGTTAGTGCCATGAGTATGAATGAATGAGTGGGGCAGCTTGAGGGTTTGCTCAGTAAAACACAAAACATACGATTTTTAAAATAACCTTTAACCTTTCTTTGAATTTTGTTAAAATAAAAAGGAATAAATGTCATAATCTCATCTGCAAAATGGAGTGTAGTTAGTAAGATTTCCATATCATATTTATTTCCTTTTTCATCCAGATTTTTATCATATGTTTCTGGTATTTTCTGTTGCGGTCATCTGGAAATCCCCCTCTTTTCCCCTTATTTCCTTTGTTTTTGTATGTTCCTCTCTCTCTACCAGTTCTACCAATATCTAGGGATATTCTTATTTACTAGAAAAATGTCACAAGAGATTTTTTAAGTGAAGTTGCTGAATAAGTGGTGTGGCAAATTTATGAGAGAAATTACCCTTTTTCTTTAGTGATTCATTTATTTAATATTTATTGAATAAGTGCTATGTGTCAGGCACTGTTCTGCAGGGAATACAGAGGAGAGCATACAAAAAAATCTGTAAGCCAATGTATTTCCAATTTGTGAAATTCAGTAAAATATGATTATCACCTAATTGTCCACATTTCCCAGAGTGCCCCAGTCTTTACTCTGTAGCTTCAAGAGTGAGGCTGATTAAGTTTTAATCCTGTTGGGGATTGATGATAACCCAAGAGCTTGTTTCTTGCCTTGAGAATGACTACCGTCTTCAGTTTGCGATGTGACGGTTTGTACCTGGAATGAGCAGTAGGTGGCGATGTTAGCACACATGACCTCGAGAGTAAGGTTACTAATGCTGCTTTTCTTTCTTTTTTTTTAATTGAAGTATAGTTGATTTATAATATTATATTAGTTTCAGGTGTACAACAGTGATTCATTATTTTTATATATTATACCCCATTTAAAATTACTACAAAACAATGGCTTTATTTCCCTGTACTGTACAGTCTTTGTTGCATATCTATTTTATGCATAATGATTTGTATCTCTTAATCTTATACCCTCACCTTGCCCAGCCCCCTTCCCTCTCCCTGCTGGTAACCACTGGTTTGTTCTCTGTATCTGTGAATCTGTTTCTATTTTGTTATATATATTCATTTGTTCAATTTTTTTAGATTCCACATGTAAGTGAAAACAGAGTATTTGTCTTTCTGACTTATTTCACTAAACATAATACTCATAGGTCCAACCATATTGTTTCAAATGGCAGAATTTCATTCTTTTTATGGCTGAGTAATATTCCATTGTGCATATATATATATATATATATATGTGTGTGTGTGTGTGTGTGTGTGTGTGTGTGTGTGTGTGTATACACACCCCACATCTTCTTTATCCATTCATCTGTTGGTGGGCATTTAGGTTGCTTCCATATCTTGACTATTGTAAATGGTGCTGCTATGAACATTGGGATGCATGTATCTTTTCAAAATAGTGTTTTCATTTTCTTCAGATAAATACCCAGGAGTGGAATTGCTGGATCATGTGATAGTTCTATTTTTAGTTTTTTGAGGAACCTCCATACTTTTCCACAGTGGCTACACAAATTTACATTCCCACCAACCCAGTGCACAAGGGTTCCCTTTTCTCCACATCCCTCACCAACATTTCTTTTTGTGGTCTTTTTGATGATAGCCATTTAGACAGGTGTGAAGTGATATCTCATTGTAGTTTTGATTTGCATTTCTGTGATGATTAGTGATGTTGAGCATCTTTTCATGTACCTGTCGGCCATCTGTATGTCTTCTTTGGAAAAAATGTTTATTCAGGCCTTCTGCCCATTTTTTAATCAGGTTTTTTTTTATGTTGAGTTATATGTATTTTATGATTATGTATTGTAGATATTAACCCCTTATCAGTTATATCATTTCCAAATATTTTTTCCTCATTCAGTAGTTATCTTTCTCTTTTGTCAATGGTTTCCTTTTCTGTGCAAAAGCTTTTAAGTTTAATTAGATCCTATTCATTTATTTTTGCTTTTGTTTCCTTTCTTAGGAGGCAGATACAAAAAAAAATTCCTACGATTTATGTCAGAGTGTTCTGCCCATGTTCTCTTCTAAGAGTTTTATGGTTTCAGGCCTTACATTTAGGTCTTTAATCCATTTCGAGTTTATTTCTGTATATGGTGTGAGGAAATAGTCTCATCTCATTCTTTTCCATGTAGCTGTCCAATTTTCCC